TGCTTTTTCTTCTTCAAGGTACTCAAGGTGCTTATATAGTCCTCCTCCCCATCTCATCCACACAACAACCCTGTGAGGTAGGCGAGGCTGAGAGTTGGAGATGGATGCAAAGGCACCCAGGGAGCTTGGAACCCTGCTCTCCTCGGGGCCAGCTCAACGCCTTAACCCCCACACTACTCTGCCGCCTAATAGTTGCAGAAGGTAAAGGCAGGGCCCCTCCTTGCCACTAGCTCTGGCTCCAGACAGCTTCCTAATTAAAAGCCGCATCCTTCTGTGGGGGGGGGGGGGGGGTGAGGGGGGGGGGGTGTATAGCAGCTTCCGGGGGTGACTTCAACTGGGGAAGAGGCTTTTAGGGTCAGGGTTAATCCTTGCCTAGAGCCAGTCCCAATCCAATCATCATACGCAAGGCTGCTATTAATTAATTAATTAATTGCTTTTTAAAAGCTAGGCAATTCGGATCAGGCTGCAATGAGTTGGCCCTTTATGACAGAGGCAGTGTTGCAAACCCTTCCAAATCTTTGCTCAACTTGGCCTGTGGCACCATTCAAACATTTATTAGGGTGCAGTTCCAGGGCTCCCTCACTCCAAGCCCTGAACCCCAAAAGCTTACGTGTGTCCTGGACCTGGAAAGAGGCACCGAGCCCGATTTGTATCCCAGCAGCTTTTTTTTGGACTTTGGGATAAAATGCCGGGATGAAGGGAAGGAGGCTGGAGCACCCATGGGAATTTGGGAGGGCCCTCGGCCTCCCTCCCTCTTCCCACCTTCTCCGAAGTGGGTGCAGGAATGAATTACGTTCCTCGGCCAGGCGGAGAACTTTCTCCCAGCAGGAAAAGAGGAGGCAGCTCCCCTCCCCTCCCCAGAGCTGCTGGGGGAAGGCCCCCGCTGTGCACGGAGGACCAAGACATGATGCGGTGTGTTTTCCTGCCAAATCCTTCCCCTGGAGGTGGCTTTGCAGCCGCGACGAAGGAGAGGATGTGTCCGGCACTGTTTCCTGCCTGATAAGCGCCGCCAGCCCCTCCAAGCGGATGTTATGAGCCCTGGGCTACCTTCATGTTCGAGCGAAGGGCTAAGGAAAAATCACGAACTGTTTATACTTCAAGGAAAATAGCCCCCCCTTTCTCCCCCCAATCAGCCTTTTTCATTCCCTCTCTTCTCATCCTCCTATGAAGGATCGCACATCAATGGCTTTCCAGAAGCTTGTGAAAAACCACACAGGGTAGAAATCAGACTCAGGCCTGCTTGTCTTCCAGATTTAGGGACCAATTTAGGACTGTCTCAGCTCTCGTCCCCAGCTGTAGCATCGGGAGGGTCACAGACCTAATCTGCAGAAGACGGTCCTCTATTTTATGAGTGGTAGGAAGATGGTCTTCTATTTGAAAGTGCTCCTAATTTGAAGAGAATGGACAGTCCAAAACCTGTTTCAGGTTGTTTCAGGTTGAGTCATCAACAGGGAGGGGCACAGTGGCCTCGGAGTCCCTCATCCACAGCTAGGAGTGCCTGGACACCAGCTGAGAAGACCTGTGATGTCTGGCAGGTCACATTCCCCCCCCCCCCCGCTACACACACACACACTGTGGTCTTGCGTTTCTATTTAAGGGCACAGTCCTATGAAGATTTAGGACAAAAAAAGGACTACAATTCCCAGTAGGCTGGGGAATGCTGGGAGCTGGAAGGTTCTTTTAGGTCTCTTCCTGCCTAGGACTGCACCCCTGCTTACACTTTAGAAAGTAATACTTTCTAAATTTGCAGCGACGTATCTAAATTAACACATGCAAGTTATGCAAATGTGCATCCTCTTCTCTCTCTCTCTCTCTTCTGAATCCTAAGCAGCTAGCCAACTTGCAGTTCTTAAGAATCAGGAACAGTATGTTGGGTGGCAAGCCGCTTCCTTCCTTCCTTCTCGGACTTTCAAGGGTCCCTGGTCCAGAACAGTGACTGGAATACGTCTGTACTGGACCCAAGTTCCCTTTAAAAGGTGCGTCACTTGCAGGCAGAGCTGGGCAGCCCGAGCCCTTTTTAGGAGCCTGCAGGGCCGGCCCTAAATCTTTTCCTGCCTCCTCCCCATCATTCTGACCCAGAGACGCCCTTGTCCAACACGAGGGCCTTTTCTCTCATGGGTGAACCAGTGGAACTAGCCACTTCTGGACTTTTTAGAAAGAAGGCTGTTGCAAAGAGGAGGGTCAAGCTCTCTTCTTGCTGGTGCCGGAGTGCAGGACACAGAAGAATCAAGTCAAGCTGCAGCAACCCAGATTCAGGCTGGGCATCAGGAAAAGCCTCCTCACTATCAGAGCAATACGGCAGTGGGACCAGCTGCCTGGAGAGGTGGGGGGCTCTCCCACACTGGAGACATCCAAAAAGCATCTGGGCAGCCATCTGAGTGGGATGGTGTGAACTGGTGTCCTGCAACAGCAGGGGGTGGACTAGATGGCCTTCATGGCCCCTTCCAACTCTGCTATTCTAGGATTCTTAAACTTTGGTGCCCAGAACTGGACACAGCATCAAACTGCAGATGGGGTTTAATCTAGGCAAGATCTCTTCTTGCTGATGCCGGAGTGCAGGACACAGAACAATCAATTCAAATTGTCACAACCCAGATTCAGGCTGGACATCAGGAAAAGCTTCCTTGCTCTCAGAGCAATACGGCAGTGGGACCACCTGCCCGGAGAGGTGGGGGGCTCTCCCACACTGGAGACATTCAGGGCGAAACTGGGCAGCCCTCTGAGTGGGATGGTGCGAACTGGTGTCCTGCAACAGCAGGGGGCTGGACCTGATGGCCTTCATGGCCCCTTCCAACTCTGTTATTCTGTGATTCTGTGGAGGTCGACGAAGCACAGAAGCCGAACTCAGAGGCTGAGGTCTCTCTGACGCGGGCAGTGAAGTGCAGCCACAGCTGTCTTCATCACTGGGTGCTTTGCAGCGTGTGCCTCTCCTGGACGGCCACTTTTGGCCATCTGGAGGAAGCACCAGAAGTGAGCGGAAGAGAGGCAGGGTTGGGTGGCTCCCCCCCTGCCGCCCCAGCCCTGCCCCCTGCCGCACCCGTCTTGCTTTCCCCGGAAGTGCTCCGTGGCCCACGAACAGTCTAGGCTAAATCACAGAAATTGCACTTCCGTCATTTCCTCTCCAGTAGGCAGCCTTCCTGCACCAGGCACCCTCCTGGCTGGATGAGTTGGATTGCAATCTCCATCTTCCCCAGCCGGCATGGCCCAGTTGGCCCCTAGTGATGGGGATGGCAGTCCAGGCCATTTGGACGGAAGCTGGCCGGCCGAGTCTGGCATCGGGTGGGAATGCAAGGCTGGCCTCCTTCCCTCTGAGGGACGGCCGCCATCTTGCATTTCCCTCCCTTTGATTTCCAGGCCCTTCTCCAGGCCGAGGCGCTGCCTCAGGAAGGAAGCGGCCAGATGCGCGCATGCAGGCCAGAAGAGTGCCAGGGCTTCCCCTAAACCCCAGCGGGGAGCGGGCAAGCCAACCTAAAAGAAAATTGGGGTCTGCGGGGGAGGGCGTGGCTCCCACTCCAACCCAGCTTCCTGTTTGATTTGTTGATGAAAGGGTCGAAGCAAGGTTCCCCAAAGAGGAAGAGTCGGGTGGGGTTGCCGGAGGGCAAAGGCCGCCTTGCAAGTCACTGCCTCTCGCCTAAAATATCCCAAGTTCTTCTTTGCAACAAAACACTCGCTCTCCTCCGTGGCGGCATGTCAGTTTTATTCTGCTCTGGATCTTCAGGCCCCATCCTTGAATATCCAGGGCAGAACAACACAGGAACCCTCCACCTAACCAGCTAGCTTGGCCCCGGAGGATGCGCCTCTGTCCCCGAGCAGCTTGCTCTGGGGTGATGCCCCATCTTCTGAAATCTGCCAGGACATCACAGCCCTCCGACACGAGGCTGATGAACCCAGGCCTGTTGGATTCCGGGATAGTCCAACCGAAGGGGCCATTTCCTCTCCCGCTCCTGCACTTCTGGAACCGCATGAAGGTGGAAGAGTCTCTTCCAGGAGATGCAGGGTTGGCCACCGATCTGGACAGCTTTAAATGGGGACTGGCCGGATGCATAACATGGGCTTCCAATAGCCTCCTGTCCCGATGGCCCTGTGCTACCTGCTGTATCAGAAGCAGGAAGTTTGGTACACCTGTTGCTGGGGAAGATGGGCAGGAGGGCACTTTTGCCCTCCAATCCTGCTTGCGAGATCCTGTGAGCAGCTGACTGGACACTGTGTGAACCAAATGTTGGATCAGATGGATCCCCGTCATGATCCAGTCTGGTTCTTTCTATGCAGTGATGTAACTTTCAGGAGCTTACAGTGCTCCGTAGCTACTTAAAAATACCAGCAGCAAATCCACACCACACTAAAAGGAAGAAGACACGCTTGGTTTATTGGAAAGGGATCCACCCCTGGGCAACGGATGCCACTCAGCTCTGGGACCAACAGGAAGAGGGCTCTGAATGTCAGCCTGAAACGTCTCCTGGTGTTTCCCGAAAGATGAACACACATTTAGGCACCCAGATGCTGGGCTGTGTGTGTTTGCTGGTGGATCTTGTGTTCAGCATGGCAGAGGCGTCTTCCCGCTCAGCTGGTAAACCTGGACTGTACCAGCTCAGACTGGCTGTGGTGGATCAGCAAGAGACCGTGTCTGGTGGATGAGGGAAAAAGGGTGAAGGATGCCAAGCAGGTGAAGGAGAAGAGGATCAGCTGGGATCCTTTAGCGGGCATGCTCGTTCTGCGTGCTGGAGGAATTTCTGTTCTGGATGGAGACACAGCTGGTGAAGCAACCCCTTGCCCTGGAGTGGTTCAACCGAGAGAGCTGGCCCTAAAGGCAGGGGTGGAAGAGCCCCGGGATGGGAAAACAGACGCACGGGGTTCTGTCGGGCTCACGGGACAGACCATGGGTGGCCCTCCAGGGGTTTTGTCCTGCATCTCCCATGATCCCTCATCGTCAGCTTAGCTGGCTGGGGCGACGGGAGCTGAAGGCCAACACGCTTGCCCACCCCGAAGAGGCTCGCGAGCCCTCATGCCTTCTTCTCCTTCTCCTTCTTCTTCTCCTTCTCCTTACTTTCCGATTTTTTCCCCTGCGGATTCTTGGCCGGTTTGTTAGCCTTCCTTCCTCGTTCCTCAGGACAGGGAGGTGGAGGGTAAGGAGCAGGTGAGTTGAGCATCAGAGCCTTCTTCTCAAGCTTCAGCTGCAAGATCTCAAAGGTGACCTTGATCTCATGCTGGACGATATCCTGCAGGCTCTGGACCTGAGTCTCGATGGCTTCTTTGACAAGGGACACGAGATGCTGGAAAACACACGGTGCGTCTTTGTCAACAACATTTCTGCCAGACCGTGGAAGAACATGGGGGCTCTTTTCCGGGGGGGGGGTGCACACTCAAGCACAGAGCATGGTGGTCCTCCGTAACGCCCTGCCACAGCATGACCGAGATCTCACCGCCCCTTGTGTCTTCCCATGATCTTTTCTCCTCCAGCCCTGCTTGGCAGGATGGGCACCCAGCATAGTTTCTGGAGCCGCTTGGCAAGCAGGGTGGACACGCTTTTACAGAGGACAGTCCTCTGTCTGGACATGTCCTCTATTATGAAGTCTGATCTAGCCCAAGTCTGGTATAACAATAGAAGAGCCATAAAAACGGTTGCAGACGTAGGCGGGCAAGCGAGTTATCCTGTCCATTTTCCATACCACATTGTACTCCTATTTCAATCATAGTAGTTGTTTCCAAATCGCCATAGAAACATAGAAACAGAGTGAGTCAGAAGGGGTCTCCCGGGCCATCTAGTCTGACCTCCAGCACCAGCCGGCTCCGCTCATGACATTTTATTTTATTTATTTATTCATTTATTTAGGGAACTTCTATGCCGCCCCATTTGCCGAAGCCTCAGGCGGCTCAAAAACATAAATAAATAACATCCTATAAAGCAATATAATTTAATGGTATAAATTAAGTCATCCTGGCCAAAGAATAAAATACATAAATAATATTAACAATTAAAATAACATTTGAATAAAAAGGTCTTCGCCTGGCGCCGAAAAACAAATAACGACGGCGCCAGGCGGACCTCTCTGGGGAGCGCATTCCATAATTAGGCATGCCCGCCATGTGCATGTCCAGCCTATCTTTGAACACCCTTACCCTCAAATTGATACATTAGCATATGCAAATCACCCTGTGATAACCCTGTGCCCTCTTTTGTGGTGATTCATTAGTGGTTGCTGTAATGAGAAGTCAAGCCTTGGCAGGTGGTTGATGGAGAAACAACTCGAGAGCAGCACAGGCCAGGCATGGCAGCGCCCTCATGTTTATTATCTGCCTGCCCCTTTCTTATATCCTGCGAGGAGGAGGTGTGTCGAATTGTAAAATTGGGAAGGCTTTGGTTCCCCTTCCTTCGTCCGGTACCCCTAATCCTTCAGTCCTCAATCCGTATCCATGCCCAGAGTCAGCTAGGACGGGAGAAAGGACGGCACGCTGGAGGGGAAGGGAGCCTGGAGTGACGCTTTAGATTCAGATGCGCCAAACACACCCCAGACAAACATGGCTGCCCAACGTCAGAGACCCAACCCCTTGTTCCAGGTCGAGCTGACGGCCATCCCTGCACAGACACAGAGCGTGGCTTCTCACCTCACTTTGACAGGTGTGACTAATACACATTTCCACCTGAGCAAAGAAGACAAGGTAAAACTATTACGTCCAGAACTTCAGTGACGCTTTGGCCAGCCTCCGTGTGGATGTATTAAATCGCCAGCCCGGTTTTCTGGGCAAACAAGTGCTTTGTCCCTCGGATACTTGCAGGTTGTGACCCCAGAGACTAGGTTTGCCTACCTTTCCTGGCATGTTTTGAAAGGCCAGGACAGGGCTTGGGCACAGGTCTTCAGCCTGATGGCGGTAACGGAGGGGCCCTGCAAGAGAGCGCAAGGCTGTCCTGTGGAAGCCAGGGGTGCACATGGGAGCATCTGGCTGCTGTGAGAACTGGCCTGCAGCCACCTCCCAGAAGCTGTGGAGGCTGGAGACGATCCAGAAGCTCCCGCGAGCCTTTGGAACAGAGGGGCCAAATCCAGGAGTGTTGGAGAACCGAAAGGGTGCCTCGTTGCCATCTCCCTCTGCCCAGGGGCTGGCATATCAACAACCCACTCAGTGCTCCGGGCTTCACATCCTGGCTCTCTTTGCTGCAGGTCAAAAGGTGACGTGCTTCTGCTTTCCTTTGGACTCACCCACACTTGCTGGCAGCACGAAAGACACACGTGTGCGGGGCATCAATTCCCCTCCACAGAACGCCTCGGAGTTTCATTAAATTCCCCCAACAACATCCTTCCAGACAGAGGCGGAACAGCAAAGCAAGCCCAGGCAGGTGGCAGTTTTCCAACGCCGGTGCAAGGTACTTGGCACACCTTAATTATGCAAAGCAGGACTGGAGAGAGAGATGGGTGATCCAAATTCCACAAATTGACTCCTAGCAAGAGGCGTCCCCAGCTGAGACTGATCTGCTGGCTGAGAGCCACTGCTTGCTTTGGGGACAGCGGGGACAGCCAAAACCACACCAAAAGGGTGGCAGCCAAGTGCTGGGGAAGCCGAGGGCAACCCTGGCCCTTGGTTCTGGTCCTTAAGTACGGGGCTTTGAGGCAAAGTCATCACCCTGCGGTTTCTGGTTGCCAAATAACGTGCTCTCCAGTGTTTTTCCTACTGTCCTTTTATTTTCCTGGAAAAGGAATCTGTTGAAATGATGGAAGAGGAGCTCCGGGCTCTTGGACCGGGAGCAGTTTGGAAGTGGAGAAAGCCTGGATTGGGCCGGGAGCGGGCGAGTGCCATCCCAAACGCTGCCGACCAGAGCTCCTTCGAATAACAAATGCGCTCAGGGCCACAAGGACATAAGAACCCAGGAGGAGCTCCGAACCGGCTCCGAACAACGGCATAGCTGCTCCAACGTTCTGTTCACACCATGGCAAGCCAGAGGTGAAAAGGCCAAACGAATACCAGCCCGGATACTGGCCATCCCAGGATTTAAGATCCTCAAGAAACCTTTCCTTATCATGCCTTTGAAGGATGTACCCTGTGGGACTAACGCATCTGGCGGGGCCTTATCGGTGGTGGCAACTCGGAGGCTCAACGGCAACCCACACCGCTCCCATTTGCACTCTGGTCCAGGACCTTTGCTATTTTTGCAGGACTCAGAGAAGGCACAAGTAGCTTGTTTGCTTTTGGATGGATGGAGCTGATGGGTTTATTCTATTTTATTGTATATGTTGGCGTGATGTAGGTATGTGAGGGGGTGTCACATGGAGGTGGGCAGAGACCTGTTCTCCCCTGCAGAGGAAGGCAGGACGTGCTCCAACGGAGCAAAGCTCAGGGAGCCAAGGTTCAGTTTGGATGCCAGGAAGCACTTCCTGACTGTCAGGACCCCGAGGGTGTGGAATGGGCTTCCCCGGGAGGTAGTTGAGGCCCCATCAGTGAGGGTGTTCAAGGACAGGCTGGACATGCACATGGTGGGCATGTCGTGAGTGGAGCCAGCTGGAGCCGGGGGTCAGACTAGATGGCCCCGGAGCCCCCTTCTTACTCACACTGTTTCTATGTTTCTATTACTCAAGGGATCATTTATATGACTCTCGTGTGCCCAAAGCTGGAGTATTGTGCTCAGTTCTGGGCCCCTTATTACAGAAAGGATCTAGCCAGGTTGGAGTCAGTGCAGCGCAGGGCCACAAGGTTGGTGGCCGGTTTGCAGGGGATGCCGTATGAGGCGAGACTGAGGGAACTGGGCCTCTTCAGCCTGGAGAAGAGGAGACTCAGGGGGGATCTGTTGGTGACATACAGGTACATGAGGGGGTGTCACATGGAGATGGGTAGAGACCTGTTCTCCCCTGCAGAGGAAGGCAGGATGCGCTCCAACAGAGCAAAGATCAGGAAGCCAAGGTTCAGTTTGGATGCCAGAAGCACTTCCTGACAGTTAGGACCCCCAGGGCATGGAATGGGCTTCCACGGGAGGTGGCTGAGGCCCCATCAGGAAGGGTGTTCAAGGACAGGCTGGACAGGCACATGGTGGGCATGTCGTGAGCGGAGCCGGCTGGTGCCGGGGGTCAGACTAGATGGTCCGGGAGGCCCCTTCTGACTTGCTCTGTTTCTATGTTTCTATCTGTGTTTTGCTTTTAATATTGTCCATTTTGATGCACTGTACTTGGTAAAGGTAGCTCAGTACTCTGGGCTTTTTGCGGGGAAGGAAGGACCATAAGTCAAATTCACAGACACCCCCAACCCCCCCCCCCACTACGTCCACCAGGCAGCAACAGGTGAATGGGCCATGGAAGGTCCAGGGAGGAGAGATTTCAGGGCGATACGAAACGAGGGCCAAGGCCTAAAGCTTCTGCTGTGTGTCAGTGACTTAGCAATGACACAGGAACGTAAGTGTGGCCTCACTCCATGCCACTAATGGTCCGTGGAGACCTGCATCCTGTCTCCAACAGTGGGCAGCCTGAGGCAGGCCTTGAGCAGGCATGAGGCCAACCGAGACATCCCGGTTGTCGTTTCTGAACGTGTGGAGACCACATGGTGAAGGTGACCATGCAGGCACCACCAAAAAAGAGGACCAAGATCTGCATCACATTTGCATAAAGAAGTGGCTACAAAGCAGTGCCACCTATTTATTACATTTCTATCTGTCCTTTGTCCTTTTTCTTAGGGAACCTTCTTCCTCCTCAACATTTTTTGAGGCTTCGGCAAGGGGCGGCATAGAAATGTGCTAATAATAATAATAATTATTATTATTATTATTTTTATCCTCATAGCAAGTCTGTGAGGTAGGTTAGGCTGAGAGTCAATGACCACATCTCAGTCACCCAGGAACCTTTAGAAGCATAGAAACAGAACAGAAGGGTCCTCCTGAGCCATCTAGTCTGACCCCCGGCTCCAGCCGGCTCCACTCACAACATGCCCACCATGTGCACGTCCAGCCTGTCCTTGAACACCCGCACCGATGGGGCCTCACCCACCTCCCATGGAAGCCCATTCCACACCCTCAGGGTCCTGACTGTCAGGAAGTGCTTCCTGGCATCCAAATTGAACCTTGGCTCCCTGAGCTTTGCTCCCTTGGAGCGCGTCCTGCCTTCCTCTGCAGGGGAGAACGGGTCTCTCCCCACCTCCGTGTGACACCCCCTCACATACCTGTGTGTCGCCAACAGATCCCCTCTGAGTCTCCTCTTCTCCAGGCTGAAGAGACCCAGTTCCCTCAGTCTCGCCTCATATGGCATCCCCTGCAAACCAGCCACCAACCTTGTGGCCCTACGCTGCACTGACTCCAACCTGGCTATATCCTTCCTGTAACGAGGAGCCCAAAACTGAGCACAATACTCCAGTTGCGGGCGCACCAGAGTCATATGGAGTGGCAGTGATCCCTCTCTCGATCTAGAAGCCACGCTTCTGGCTACCCGGATCTCCCAGTCCAACCTCTCAACTGGGCCATCATGCTGGCTGGCAGACATGTGCATGGAAGTAAAAATCATTGCACTGCAGCGGCAAAATGGGGACCAGGTAGCCCGCTGGGGCCCGCTTCGTCTACAACCCGGGCGCCCACAGTGGGGTAGGGGTTCGTACTGCTCAGGATGCCCCACGCCAGCCGCCCTTCCAGCCTACCTCTTTGCGGAGGGCTCCTTCCCTGCTTCGGACTTTTCCGCACACTTCCAGCAGCAGGCGCTCCATCTCCCAGCGCAAGAGCTCTCCGACCCGCAACAGCTCGGCCCGCTTCTCCTCTTCGGCCGCAGAGAGGGCCAGCAGCTGCTGCTGATGAGCCCAGACTTGGCTGTCAGTGCCCTCGGCCAGTGGGAGAGGCCTGGGGGGAGCACAGACCTCCAGGCTGGCAAAGCTCTGCCGGCGGTCCCTCTCCCGGACCAGCACGAACTGGTGCAGCTGGTAATGCTTGAGAAACGTGTTGTGGAAGAAGTCACACACGGCACGCAGCTGGAAAGCCGGCAGCTTCACCCGGAAGGCGGCAAGTTTCTCCTGGAGGATCCTGATGGCCTGTGAAAGGGGACAGCCTGGGATATGGGGTGGGGGGGACCCAAGAATAGACAATTGAGCCTTTTCATTCCCACAGATCCTTCAGGAAAGTTCGGAGAGCTCAGACGGCTTTGGAGAGCCCTCTGTCCAGGCCAACTCCAGCGAGGCCAGCCCTGTGCATCATCTTGTAAAGTGCAGGGTCTCTGTCCCTGAGGAGCTTACAGTCGAAACTCAACAGAAAGAGGCAATGGAGGAGGCATATGTATGAAGGGGCACCATAACCAGAAGAAGGATAGGTTATCATCTCAGTTACAGGTGCTCGGGACTCCATCTCCCGTTCCAGGAAGGTGGGAGATCAAAGCACTTCCCAAAAGAGAGCAGGGCAGAGTTGGGCAATGCAGGATCAGGCCCACAGTGCACCGGGGGAGGGGGGCGCTCCCGTTCCTCTGCTGGCATGGCAAAGGTGTGCAGCGGAGCGTCTGAGGGGAGGGGGCTGGCGCTCGGAGGATCTGGGTTCTGGTCCCGCTCAGCCCCAGAGCTGACGGGGTGACCTTGGGCCCATCACGGCCCGGCCTGGCCCGACCTACCTCACAGGGTTGTTGTCTCGAGGATGAAATGGCAGCAGGCTGGGGTAGTGCTTCTCTTCCTCTCCCTGCACCATCCCATAAAGAATAAGATTTGAAAGGAAGTTGTGTACATTGCCTTGAGTTCCTTGGAGGGAATAATGCCCTCCAGAAGCAGGAGCAAGAGGCCTCGGGTGGCGTTCAAGGCCTTTTGAAACGTCGGGGTGCCTGCGATTCCCCTCTTCCCTCTGCTTGTTTTAAACCCCTCTCTCATGTCCCCCCACTCGCCTTGTGCAGCCCCCAGTCTGTGCATAGGGGACCACGCAGCTCCAGACCACTAGGCCTGCTGGTCCTGCTGCAGACTGAGGTCTCCTTTGCCGAAGAGCCCACTCATGTACGTTCAACTGGGTTTATGCTCCACGCATGCAGACTGGGGGACTTAGGAAAATGGAGGGCACGGACGGAGCATACGGGACGCAGGTCCATTGGGGCGGACGCTGGAGCATCGAGGTGACTCTGGGACGGGGCCAGCAGCCCAAACAGGTCTCCTTTCTCAGGGACTGGGTTCCTCACAAGAGGAGGAGAAGGCCAAACAAAATGCAGAATAACAACAACAACACAACTCACAGTTCGGCACTGAGCATGGGTTGAAAGCAGGCGGTCTCCCTGGTTAAACATGGGTTGCTGTGGTCCTAAGCAAGTGACGGACCCTTCCCAGTGCACCGCCCAACAGTAAAACCTGGCTTCTCTTCATGGGTTGCTGAGAGTTAACTAGCTCATTCGCTATGCTTGCTAACCGTGGCTTGTTAATGCGCCTGGGTTCAGACAGCACGATAACCCAGAGCTGCACAACAGCTCGACCCAGTGCTGCCTGGAAGAAGATGCCTTCCACGGACCCCCTCCTGCAGCGACTCTTTCCGCCATTACTGCTCACCATTTCTGGTAGTCCCCATTGCCTCTCTCGCCGCTGCTGCCGCCTGGCTTGCCTGACCAGCAAAGGCTCAGGAGCAAGCAGCCATCTGCCACTCTCCCCAGCGAAGAGGCAAATTGCAAACGGGGAAAGGGAGGAACTTGCAGGGGACCCCTGCTGGGCGAGGGGCTCAGGACGCACCCACCAGCCCGAGACCTGCACCAAGACGGACATTTCCACAGCACAGATGGTGTCGCCACAGGGAGGCTGCCTTTTGGAGCCCGAGCACTGGAGAAACGTGCCAACCGGCATCCAGCGATAGTTATTCTCTGGGATCCCTAAAAGCAGAGCTCGTTAATTATCCAACCCCGTCACAATGTAAAGGCCTGGGTGGAGGGGAGCGTTGCCTTGTTCCTTTCAGCTTATTGGGTCAAGAGAGCGGTGCTACAACACCAGCAATAAATATGGAGGTTGGATTCTATCGTCCAGGCACGATGTTTGTGACAAAGAAAAAGTCTGAGAAAGGGCTGATGATGAGGAAGGTGTGCACAGCCCTTCTTTTAGGAGTTGAGAACATCTTGCACTCTTGCCTCTGAGCCTGTGAGCAGAGCTAATGTCTGGAGGGTTTAGAAACATAGACACAGAGCAAGTCAGAAGGGGTCTCCCGGGCCATCTAGTCTGACCCCCTTAGCCGGCTCCGCTCACGACATGCCCACCATGTGGACGTCCAGCCTGTCCTTGAACACCTGCACCGATGGGGCCTCAATGACCTCTCGTGGAAGCCCATTCCACACCCTCGGGGTCCTGACTGTCAGGAAGCGCTTCCTGGCTTTCAAATTGAACCTTGGCTCCCTGAGCTTGGCTCCGTTGGAGCGCGTCCTGCCTTCCTCTGCAGGGGACAACAGGTCTCTACCCACCTCCGTGTAACACCCCCTCACCTGGTCAGCAAGGTCTGTCTGTTCACACATAGAAACATAGAAACAGAGCAAGTCAGAAGGGGCCTCCCAGGCCATCTAGTTTGACCCCTGGTTCCAGCCGGCTCCGCTCACGACATGCCCACCATGTGCACGTCCAGCCTGTCCTTGAACACCTGCACCGATGGGGCCTCCACCACCTCCCAGGGAAGCCCATTCCACACCCTCGGGGTCCCAACTGTCAGGAAGCGCTTCCTGGCATCCAAATGGAACCTTGGCTCCCTGAGCTTGGCTCCGTTGGAATGTGTCCTGCCTTCCTCTGCAGGGGAGAACAGGCCTCTCCCCACCTCCGTGTGACACCCCCTCATACCTATACATTGTCAACAGATCCAACATATAGGCATTTTAAACTCCTAACCAAAAGCCATCCCTGAAGGCTTGGCAGGTATGCAGGTCACCTCCAAATATCTGATAGAAATAGTGGGGCCAAATTGCCGTGTAATAGAGAACTAGGCAGTAGCAACTATTTTAGGCAAATCGATTCCCTAAAATGGGCACTTTTAATGTTTTGTTTTGCAATAGACTATGAGGCAGTCTTCTTGAATATTTTTTGAGCATTATAATTTGCAAATACAGATTATACGAGAAGCTCAGAGTAGAAGCCAGCACACCAACCTCTCCTCCAACTTCACAGTCAAAATGACGTTTGAACAAAAAGGTCTTCGCCTGGCGCCGAAAAACAAATAACGACGGCGCCAGGCGGACCTCTCTGGGGAGCGCATTCCCTCCTTCCCCACAATTTTCTATCCCAAATCGCACCTTACACTGAACTTCTCACTGCTCTCTGGTTTTGTTCAAGGTTTTTGGTTTCTACAGCTGCGCACGTCAAGGATCTCCTCCCCACCTTAACAAATACCCCCTCGTTTTGGCTAGGGTGCTGTTGGCATTTACCACCTGAGTTTGCTGTTAGGGCAACTGGTGGATAAGTCTTTGAATAAACAAACAATGTTGGACGGAGCAACACATTAAATTCGGTTTAAGCTGTGCATTCCCAGCTGAGGTCAGAGATTGAGGGTTGCAAGCGCTCACAAGGCGGACTCAATGGGGCTGACTTTCGCCCGCCGTTTATCCCCAGCACCTGGGATTCCCCTGCCTCCAAAAACATAGAGTCTTTTTCTCGTTGAGGCCACCCTTTCCCTCTTAATGAAGTGCACCTTTGGAGAGCCGATGCTTGCGGATCATAAAAGAACAGCATGTTCTGCCAGAGCTGCAAGGCTGTGAATCTGGTTGCAAATGTACTGGCTCTTGTTCCATTTCTGAGCACAGGCCTAAGCGCTGATATTGTTGTGAGCCGCCCTGAGGTTTCGGCGAATGGGGCGGCATAAAAATGTTTTAATAAATGAAAAATAATAATAAAGACATGGGAGCTCAGAGCCCCCCATAGGTCAGGGTGGAGGGCACGGTGTTGGAGGAGGAGGAGGAGGGAGGAGGAGGGGGATCTTCTGCCACATCAACCAGCCCTTCCACAGGGCCACCACCAGAGGCCCTTGTCCAAGGATCTGCGCCATCTGAAGGGAGATGGGTGGCAATGCGGGGAAGGGCCTTCTCGGTGGTGGCGCCCTGCTGCTGGAATGCCCCCTCCAGGCGGCTTGTCTGCTGGACCTTCACTGCTGCCTTTCCAGCCGCAGGCAGATGTTGACCTGCTCTGTTGATCAGCCTATCAGCCACCATCCTGAGCAAGCACATGCGGACATTCCCAGAAGAGGAATGTCTTCTCGGAGGCCTTGAGGACGGCGCTGCGCCTCGTCCTCGCTCTTGACATCTCTCCGGGTCCCGCCTCCCTCCTGCTCGCACACTCCCAGGTGTGGCCTGCCTGTCCCACTGCTGCACACCTCACAGAGACAGCGAACCAGGAAGGGCCATCCCCCTCGCGAGGGCTCCAAGATTCGGAGCAGCTGTCCAGGCCCTCCAGCCAGGTCTGGGCATTTCCTCCCCTTCAGCAGCAGCAGGTGGGCTGAGCAAAGGGATCCTCCTTGCCTGTGCCCAGATCAGGGCTCTCCAAAATGCGTTGCCCACAGCTGGGAACCAGGAAGATGAATGCCAGCGAGCACCGCAGCAGAGTTCCTCTGCGAACAGGGGTTGCTGCGGGGAAAAGCCGAGCCCGCCAGCATCACTCGACTTGAAATGAGCCGGCCCTGCATCCCCACGAGCCCCGGCTCCAGCACAGCGCTGGTGGGAATTCAAGTGCAGCAGGGATGTGGGACGGGGTGGCAGGAATACCGAGTCCCTGGGCTGGGGGGCCTTGGGGAAGGGCGCCTGGCACACTAAGGCGGGCGGCTGTGCTCGGAATGGGCAGCCAGACTACCTGTGATGGGTCCCACAGGTGGTTGAGGGAGCCATCTTTCTGCCTCCCCGTCCTCCACCCACAGGTGTCCGACGGGACACGGGGCAGCACGGAGGTTCCCCCTTCCTCACCCTGCTGTCACGGGTGGCTGGCGGCCCTCCTTCTCGCAGATGAGCCACCTCGCAAGCTGTGGCGGGGCTGATCCGCACAGTCGCCGGTCTTGCACCCGCTGCCTCTGCCAAGATCCACACCCGTCCCGAGCCGCTCGGCTCTTCCCAGCCTGGGCCCCGTCGCTCAGCAGCAGCCC